AGTAAAAAAGATCTACTGTGAATTCTAAATTATTCATATTCTGTAAACTAATGCAGTTAAAGTAATGGCAAATACAGCTGTATCTTAACGAAAGAATTATTTGCATAAATGCGAAATTAGGAAGACATGGTTGGCCTTTAGGGTTATGTATGCCCTGAGGCTCACTAGCATCCTGGGTTGTTGGGCGAGCGTTTGCGTTACGGCTTCATGTCCTCTTCCTCTCGATGGATTTGATGATGGTACAGCGATGAGTCCCTAATCTTAATCCAGTCTAGACAAAATATAGTGAGCAATGTTGACTAATATTACCTAGCAGAATAAGAGCATCTACCTAATTCGGTAAACAAAACATAACCATCAGAGCTTCGATCAACCCAAATGACCGAAGATGGATAGTTTATGAAAGATCTTATGATAATTTTAAGACCTACTTACAAGATAAGTAGTCTACTGCATATTAAAATATGACGATCACTATACAGAGGATTTATATAAAATTTAATAACAGCTTAAAATTACAATACCAGTAAAAACAGATACTGAAATCGAAAATAGATTTGATAAAGAATACAAATTAATGATTGCACATATTACATTTTTTTTAATTTATAAAAATCAAAATAAAAAATTGAAGTGAAGAAGAGTTTTTAAGGCTATAAGTTATAGTATGTATTTGCATGTAATAGACTCCTAATATGTTGGTAAATCATATGGAAATATGAGTTTATTTTACAATGTTTCATTTTGGTATCTGCCTTAACTTATATAAAAAAATTGTAAGAGACATTTTATTTGCCTTAAAACAATGAATCCTGATAGAATTCAACCATTAACTTAATTCTCCTTCTTAAAATACAAGTGAAAATATAGGTTTTAACACTTACTTCCCTGGCTGAACAGGAACATGTACTGCTCCATAACCCCGTATAACATCTTTTCCAAAAATGTCTAACCCATATGCATGAATGATCAACTGTGGCCCTAAAATTAAGAATAATACATTTCATTCAATTACATCCAAAAGGATTTGAAGACTTCCACGTTATATCGATTGGAAAATTAAACACATGCTCTTGATTTGAGTCAGAACTTTTTAAGGTCGTTTGTGTGATGCCTTCGTCCATGCCCTATATGATTAAGTTACTGACAACAAAAATCTCCTACAGCCACAATGACCCAGTCCAATCCATGCGAAAAGCAATATTTACACCAAATATAATCATAAGAAGGAAACTGAATAAATATTAGTTACAATAATGAATAACCTTGGCTTTTTCAATTTGTCCTGTTAATGAAAGCAGAAAGCAATCAACTCTGTCGTCATCTGTAGCCATGGCTTAAATGAACGCTGTTGACAGTGCCTGTGATATGTTATCTAAAAATTCAGATATTTTGTTTTATCTTTCAAAAATATATGTATACTTAATCATTTTTTTATTTAAACATTTAGAATAATTGTTTTTTTTTTTTTTTACAATTTTTTATATTTAGAAACATTGTGTGCTGTTTCATCTTTCTGAGCAGAAACCCCCTCTGACATCTTAACACGTTTATATGCAAGAAAGTTGCGTTTTTTAATTTTTGCATGTTTAAACCGAAATTTTTAGATAGGACTATTGCCACGGGGAGGGACATAAATTTAGTAATTGCGTTTCATAACTTAATAATTTGCTCATACCTTCAACGAGATACAAATTATTTGTAACTCTTCACAAAAAATTAATGCCCTTATCAACATATGAGGAACAATTGTGTATATTTAGTCCTATTTCATGGCTAGACTCCAGCTAGGGGTGTTGATGAGACTTATGCGAGTTCGAAATTTCAGCCTACTCTTCCCTTGAAGAGAATATCACTTGGGATGCAAAACTTTAAGATATTTATTGAAGCCATAAGGCCTATTTATAGCATTGCAAGAAAAGTTAATCTACCCGTTTTTTATCACCGTACACAAAATATGGTGAATACATTCCATATTTGAATAAGTATTTGTGTTCGCCGAGGTTAATTTAGGTGATTTAAGGACTAAGCATCGGCATTCCAACAATGAATTATTTAGGCCTCATTACGCACTTTATTTTTTGCCTCCCAAAATATTTTCCTATTCAGCATAGAACATAGGATCCTCTTCGCCTATGTTCTGAACCGAGAAGTGCGATTAATGTAGAAACATGCTACCACTCTGTCTCAAAGTAACGGTTTCCAGAAGGTAAAATGGCATTAAAAATTAGTATATTGACAATTTGATCACATGCAGGAGCTTAGATTTGCTCAATAATTGATCCGAGATCTAACGACAGATTCTAAATAAATTCATCTGTCATATATTATTGTAGATGAACTTGAAGGAAAAGAAAATTTTTTTACTACGGAAATCCCAATTAAAATATGAATTTTAAGAGACATGGCCTGACTTAAGGCGTGCTTAATATCTTGTGAGGAATCCAAATGAAATTTATCAGTTAAATTTAATCTACCTAG